CCACAGGAAGACATCTTTCCATTTATGTCTCTTTTCAGCCAGTCGCCGCTACAGCTCCTTCTCCTCACCCTGATGCCCACTCCCAACTGTGATATGCCACAGTAGACATCCAGGTCCTTGGCTCTTAGCTAACTGAATAGGCAAATCTATGCCAATATGTTCATGATGCTTCAGTGTAGAGACTGGAGCCTTTTGGACACATTGGGCTTTCCTCTGGGTCTTAATAGGATGGATGACTCCATAGGTAGGGATGTCATCGAAGAGTTACAGAAGCATGGCGGCACAGTTGTGTAGATAGCTAGCTGATTAGTTTATTGAAAAAAAAAAAAACTTGGACCTTTTTCAAGTCACCCTTGTGTTGAGAAACCAAATCAGAACTTTACAAACCAAGCCTGTTAGGGGTCACAACACAGGAAATGAAATTTGCCCTATAAATGTATGTTGAGGAAACAAAGGTTATGGGATGAATTGAACCAGACCACTGTGATGTGCTCACTCACATTGTTCCAGGCACATTAGCCCCTTTCTCTTCTTTGTAGTCTTCAAATTTGCTCTTTTCTTCCAAGCTCCTCACCATTTCATTAGCTCAAATTCCTTTTATTTAACTATGTATAGGGTTAACTCCCTCATGCTGTTTCCTTATCAGATATGGAACTTCATCTGACGTAGCCTGCTCCCCACCATTCTTTATCCTTGATGATAGTTTTCTTCGGAGTACTGATATGTTGTTGAATAATATGCTATTTATTTTTATTGCTCCTCTCGTAAGCTACTACAGTTCAGAGATTTGTTTTTCTGTATGCTGATGGTGGAGTTCAATGTTTTATGTGAAGTACATACTTAGTAAATAGGTTTTGAATGCTGGAATTGAGCACGGGATTCATGGTCTTGGGAGAGCTAAGGCAATGCTTTTCTTTATTCTTCAAGGCAGTTTTCTTATGGTTTTGTGTTCAAGTCACTGTTCCTCTTCTCTATTCTGTACAACCACTTCTCATCTACACTTGTTGCTAGAAATGCATTCCCTAGCCACATCCTGGGGAGATTTCTAGGACAGATAGTTTCCAGTGTGTGTGTACCTTTGTGTATGTTCATGTGTGTACCATGGTGCATATGTGGAGGTCAGAGGACAATCTCAGATGTTGGTCCTTGCATCCTATCTTGTTTATCCCCCTGTGCCCCAGGGTAGCTGGCCCGTGTACCTCTGAAGAGTGTCCTGTCTCTGTTTCCCATCTCCTCATAGAGCTACTGGGAATAACAGACGTGTGCTGCTGCCCCTTACGTGGCTTCTAGGAATTTGAGTCCAGGCCCTCATGCTTGTGCGTAGTAAGCCCTTGATGAATGGAGCCAGCTCCCCAGTCCTGGCTTCCTTGTTTCACAGCCCATTGAGTGAAATGGACCACAGCCATGCATGTTCCCAGGGCTCCAGGATACCTTTTTTATTCAGAGGTTTGAGGTGAGTTCTCAGAGGAGAAGCTACATTGAAAACACTGTTGCAAGGCTGAGGCTGTGGTAAAGTGTGCCCATGTACAAGTCCCTGAATGCAATCCCAACCACAAATAAAGCCCTGTAAGTGCCATATAATACTTTCTGGCATGGTAGAACATATTTGTAATCCTAGTACTTTGGAGGTGGAGGCAGGAGGATCAAGCATTCAAGGCATGAGAGTTGGAGGCCAGCCTGGGCTATAGAGAAACTTTACCTCAAAACAGGAAAACTAACATCCTAACAAAACCACCATAGGGGACTCCGAGACCATGTGACCACACTTGAAAGCACAGCTCTGAAACAGCACACCCACTGAGGCTTTGTAGAAACTTTTTAGGTGCTCACTGCGAGCCAATCTTTATGCTCTGCACCATCTGAAAATTCTGCGTGAGTTCTGCCATGTGAGCCACACGGCATAACTACTTCTCTGGGCTGTGGTCAAGACACAACAGCAGAAAAACGGAAGAGGAAATAATGAGAAGGGAATCAGAATGGCCATATGTTGGCCTGCGTCCATCAGTTTGTCTCTAGGCAACGTGGAGGTCAAAGCTGAGGGGTTGTATTATTGTCAGGCTTCTAGAGGACATTTTTCCTCTTCTTCTCTTTCCCATGACTTAATGAGGAACATGGACTTTTTGTAAGTCATTTTCATTTCTATGTCTAAGATTGTGATGATTGTTTCAGAGCCTGTAAGAGAGCAAGGTCATGGGAAGGCATGGTGTCTGTGTGTGTGTGTGTGTGTGTGTGTGTGTATGTGTGTGCATGTGTGTGTATGTGGCAAATGGGAAGATACTGCTTGCAAAAACATTCAAACCCACTATACTCACCAGAAAGAAGTAAGAGGTTTTTCAAGAATGCAGATCAACAGTTGACTTTAAAGTAGAAGTGCGCTGGTACATAACACTTAGGGTTGTGTTTTTCTTTTTCTTTTTTTTTTTTTTTGTTTTTGTTTTTTTAATTTTATTTTTTACATTAATTACAGTTTATTCACTTTGTTGTTTTTTTTCGTATTTTATTTTTTTCTTATCAGTTACATTTTATTAACTATGTACCCCAGCCGTGTCCCGATCCCTCTTTCCCTCCCAGTCCCTCCCTCCCTCCCTCCTCTCCACCGTGCCCCTTGCCAAGTCCACTGATAGGGGGGACCTCCTCCCCATTCATCTGATACAGTGGGGGGGAGTTGACCTAAGTTGACTAAACCGTTTAGTCATGTGCCAAGATAGTAATAATCACAATAAATGAAAGTTACTGTATTCATACTCATGGCATGGCCGAGGAAGGCTTCTCTATGCTTCGTCACATCTGAAGAATCTCTCAAATGTGTCCAGCCTACTGTAAAAAACAAAAAAACAAAAAAACAAGTCAAAAACAAGTTTTCTATAACATGTGTAAAGTGTCTTGAGGCCTTTAAAAAACAAAGAAAAGGAAGCCCTTACCTAAACAGCGACACACATGTGTCCATTACCACTGCCACTGAAGGGGTCAGCAGAGACTTCTAACCACTCTCCTAAAGACTTGAGCCCAGCAATGCCCAAAATCTATTTGGCCATATGCCTCATGTTTCAAGCTGTGTGTTTGGAAGAAACATGTTCCACGTGCTATTAATTACTGTACACATAATTAAGGCCTACCAACAAGTTAAAAGCGTTTCAGCGGTCCATCTCCCTTCAGAAAGTGCAGTTTCTTTGGATTTATTTCTGAACTGAAGCACCAGGCATGCTAGCTCTCCCCAGCCAGGTCATTGCTTGTAGCTGTTGTTTGATTACCGCATAGCTCAAGTCATTAACATGGGGTCTCGAATACAGGAAACGTCCTGTATTTATGGTATAAACGAAGCATTCGATGGCTCTAGTGTTTGTGACCTTTGGATGCTCACTCACCAGTCTTAACTTTAGAAGATACGTTTCCCTCCTTAAGAAAGCAAGAGGTCTAATGGGCTTGTCGGTTTCCTGAGGCTGTTACATTGAACTAGACAGGGCAGCACAACAGAAACCTATCCTTTTACAGTTCTTGAGTTCAGAAATCTAAAAGTAAGGGCTGTGCTCTCTCTGCTGGCTCAGGGGAAGGTGTGTGTGTGTGGGTCTTCATTGCCTCTCACTGCTTCTGGTGGCCCCAGGGTTGGGCTGTGGCTGCTACATGATTCCATTCTCGGCCTCTTCTCATGATCTTCTCTTAGGATCACCCCCCCCCCCATTCTGTCACCTATAAGGACAGTCAGCAGGGGTATTCTTGAATGAAACTTCTGGAATCCACACAGCCAGAATGTTCCTTTCCACATGAAGCCAGCCCATAGGTTCTGGGTTTCAAACCTATGTTTTGGGGTCATAAAAAGGTTTAGCATTCATAGTTAGTGTTCATTTCTCTGGTCTCTTTCCTCACTGTAGCTCTGGACTGAGATTTTTTTTTTTTTTTTTTTTTTTTTTGCTAAGAGGCCAGGGATATAGTATATGATTAGGTCTGATTTAGAATAAGAGATGGGGGTGGGGGAGACGAATCAACATTTCACCCACAGATGTCAAACCACGTTGACAAGTGGTTTGCTGGGAGAGGAAGTTGTGTAAGTGCTTGAGAAGTAATGTTATACCCAAGCCGATGATGTCTGCGTGATGTATTAGGGACTGCCACTTGATAGGCAGAGATGTGAGTGATGACATGCGCGACACAGTGGTGGCTAGGATGGTATAAGGTTGATTCTGTAATAATCTCAGTGTTGGGCCCTTTAAGATGGAATGCCGCTTTCTATGGAGATTAAGTCATAAAGACAAGGCCAGAGACTCCTGGGAGCAGCAGCTTGAAATGAAAGCCTCCTGAAGAATTCGGATCAGGAAGGAGACCTAGCACAGACTGTGGCTTCTGCATTGAAACCATCTGCGTTCCATTTGGCAGTAGTGAAATGCAAGGTCTTGGAATGTACAAATACCAAAAGAAATAGTACATCAGCGGTGAGTTACCCCAGCGTCAACTAAAAAGCCAGCGAGAGGACATTCAAAATTATTGTCATTCCGGTAAACATCTTACAGAGGGGACGTTGTGGAAACTGAAGATCCTCAACAGGTGGAAAAGTGACCTTTCCTTTCAGCCAAGTAAGGATAAAAATCTTGCTGGAAAGTGAGTCAGTGTTGACTAAGTGAAAGAATTCTTGGAGCAGAGCGGTAAGGGCATGGAGAGAAAAACCATCCAGAGGTGGGAAGAGCACACAGAATAGATTAGAAATAGAATTTTAGCCCAGCAGGACAGCACTGATGACAACGTTGAGTGCTGGTGAGGAACCTGGGAGTAATTAGAATAGAGGACTCTTCGGTTATTGTTGTTGTTTTAAGGTTAAATCATTGAAATGATATTTCACGCCTTTATGAAAAATGAAACAAAAATGTGTAACATGCAGTGGCAGACAGGTCATACTCAAGTATCCATGCAGAAGTATGAAAGAACCTGCAACTTCAAACACTTTAAGCTCAGTGCATACTTGGCATCTTAACAGAAACCCGTAAACCTGTTTTTCTTTTCTGTCATAGGGAATTTACTTTGGTGAATTCATTGGTGTATTGGAGACTCACACTGCAAAGATTCACATGAAGATATTGGAGATTTATACGGAAGTGACACTCACACTTGCCATGTGACTATCTCAAGCCCCAAAAAGCTGGGATAAAGCCTTCCTTACAGCTTTAGGGTGTGCTTGTGCCATTAGGGTTCACCTTTTCACCCTGTGCTGCTTAGTTTTTTGTTGTTAACTTGACCAGCTCTGAGGATCACCTGCTGTGCTGCCTAGTTTTCATATCAACACAAGCTAGAATCATCTGGGAAGGAGGATCCTATATTGAGAAAATGCCTCCATCTGTTGGGCTGTAGGCAAGTCTGTGAGACATTTTCTTGATTAATGATTGATGTGGGTGGGGCTCAGCCCACTGAGGATGATGCCTAGTTCCTGGACAGGTGGAACTGGGAATAAAAAAGGAAACTAAGCAAGCCATGTGGAATAAGCCAGTTCCCCGCATTCCTCCAAAGCTGCTGCTTCGATTCCTGCCTCCAGGTTCCTGTTGCCAGGTTTCTGCTTTGGCTTCCTGCCGTGAAGATAGACTGCAACCTGGTAAGCCAAATGCACCTTTCTCTCTTCAAGTTGTTTTTGGTTTTGGTGTTCTAATAATGACCCTAACTAAGACATCTGGGAATAAGGAACCCCAGTTGCCTCCATACTGACATACAATTTCATATATGGACCAACAGTACATGTATATACTTTATAAATAAATATACATGTAATGTAGAAACAGCCCAGAAAATTCCATTAAAGTTTAAAAGTAAGTTTTCTTTTCATATTTTTGCATATTAAATCTTTGGCTTTAATATCCTTTAAGAAGTAAACAGCTGAGCCAATCATGCCTTGAAACTTTGAACTTAAGGTTTCCTGGTTACACATATCTCCTTCCCCCCCCCCTGAGTTTTAGTTTTTTTCAGTCTCCCCCACCAGTTTTATTTTTTTCAGTACTGGGCAGTAAGTGTTCTCATGTTTTGGAGCCTGGGGGTTGGTGTAGTGATCCCAACAATGCTACTACATCTTAGCCACTCAAACAATGACTGCTTTTTACAGCTACATCTGTTTTGAAGACTTACTCTATTATAGTCTGGTTCTATTCCCTTCCCCCCCCCCCTTTTACCTAATTGCCTGCCACATTAGAACACTCATTCATTTGAAATTTCCTCTTTGGGTGTAGTGGTTTACTCTAACTGAAAAGCAGCAAGTTGCCAGATCTTAGCTTTAGCTGGAGGTTCCAGTTCCTCGGAGTGAGTTTGTTTTTTTCGTTTTTGTAGTGGTGGTGGATTTTAGTTTCTAAGATATGACAATTAGCTTTGAGGGTATCTTTCCTGTCATGGTTGGTCATTGTTACTGTCAGTTAATATCGGTTTTTAATATAACTTTTAGGAGTTTTTTTTTTATTAAAGTCCATTTAAAGTAAAACATTTATTAATTATCAAAAAGATAGCCATGGAGATCTCTCAGTGGATACCTTGCCATCAACTCAGAAGGTTCTTGGGCTGGTCCTGGCTCCTATAATACAAGCCAGGTGCGGTTGTGTGCACTTCAAATACCTTGGTTGATGGGGTATGGGGTGGGGACAGGTGGCTGCCCGGATTTCCCTCCGGGTGAGCTAGCCTAGCCTAATCCAGGAGCACCTGGGTCCCAGTGAGAAACTTTGTCTCAGTAGACAAGGTGGGTGGGTCCTGAGGAACTATACCCTAGGTTGACCTCTGATCTCAGCACTTACACATACATTTGTTGTATACGTGAACACACATGCACAAACACGCTCCCACATAAAATAGCAGTAGTGATGTGTTTACTGTGTTGGCATTTTCCTGTATTTCCTGCTGTGTAGCTTTTTCTTTCCGTCTCTCCCTCCCTCCCTCCCTCCCTCCCTCCTTCCTTCCTTCTTCTTTTTTTGGTTTTTCAAAAAACAGTTTCTCTGAGCAGCCCTGGCCGTCCTGGAACTTGCCCTGTAGATCATGCTGGACTTGAATTCAGTGATCCGCCTGCCTCTGCTTCTGGAGTGCTGGGATTACAGGCAAGCACCACCACCTGGCAATTTTCTTTAATTAATTAATCAATCAATTAATTAATTATGCATCCTGTCTGCAGTTTTTCCTCCCTCCTCTCCTCCCAGTCCTTCCCCTCTCCTCTATCTACTCCTTTTAATCTTTCCTGTCACGACAGCTTTTTAAGATTTTTCTTAGAAAAAGAAAATTCTTTCTGTAGATGCTTGAATCCTTAATTTGTCCTTCCTTCAATTAAAAATAATTGATGAGCACAAACTACATTCTGGGCACTGGGCTAAGGCATACAACGTGAAGCAATCCAAGCCTTGTCTTTTCTGGATCTGACTGTCTCTTAGGCAATTTAGATGATAGGGAGGTGATTGGGTTTAAAATGAATATTGCAAAATTCAAGATGCCTAGTGTCTATCATTTGACAAGGCATTTTGTAATCACATTTTTTTCAATGCACGGGAGCAAAGGCAGTCTTTGGGGCTTTTTATTTCTTTCTATCCTTCTGCCAGCCTGCCCTCTAGCACCTTGGTGTTTGTTACCCCTCCCCCACACCTAGACCTCTCTCCCCACAGTGCTCATTCCTCTTTCACATCACATCCCCCTTCTCTTACACATTTCTTTCCCCTCTCCATCAATGGTTCCTTTCAATTTTCCTACATTGTACGAGCACTCTATGTTGAACACAGAAATCTGAAGATTTGACACAAGGATCCATATATGATTGAGCACAGGGGACATTTCTCAGTATAATGTTTTCCAGTTCCGTTCATTTACCTGCAGATTTCACATTTCATTTTTCTTTACATCTGAATGAAAGTCCACTGTCCACAGGTACCACATTTTCATTATCTGTTCACCAGGTAGTGGACATCTAGACTCTGCATGTCCTGGATATTGTGATTAGAGTTGCTGTCAAAGTGGATCTCTGTAACAGGAGCTAAAGTCCTCGGGAATATGTGCAGACGTGGGAGAGTTGAGTTATACGGTAGATCTATTTCTGCTTTTTAAAGGAGCTTCCACATTGGTTTCCATAGCGATCGCATCAGTTTACACTCCTATCCATAGTGCAGCAGTGTGTCATTCCCCGTATCCTCACCAGCGTTTGTCTTTTGCTTTCTCTTTTTTTTTTCCGTTAAAATTATTAGAACTTTTCAATGCCCTTCTCAGTGAGTAGGTTGATTAAATATGTTCCTTTTAAGGAGTATAAAATATGCAGTTAATAAATGTCTTTTGTTTTCTTAATCTTAGCCATTGTGACTGGGGTAAGATGAAATCTCAGGGTAGTTTCAATTTGCACTCTCTTGATGGCTAAGTTTGATGAACTGTTTTTTAAAAATATTCATTAGCCATTTGTATCCCTCCTTCTGAGAATTCTCATCTCAGTTGCTTAACCCACTTTTAAAGTTGGGGTGTTAGTTTTTCTGGTGGTGTGTTTGGTTTTTTTTGTTTTGTTTTTTGTATTTTTTTTTTTTTTTTTTTTTTTTAGTTCTAGATACTAATCCTCTGTCAGATGTATAGCTGACAGTTTTTGTTTGTTTGTTTTTCCCATTCAGTAGGCTACTTCAGTCATTTAACAATTTTCTTCTCTAGTACAGAAGCTTTGTAATTTCATAAAGACCTGCTTGATGTCTGTTGGTTATAGTTTTTTGGGCACCTGGAGCCCTATTCAGAAAGCCCTTACCCAGCCTGTGTCCTCAGGTGGTACTCTGTAGACCAGGCTTGCTCTCAAACTCACAGAGATCCACCTGCCTCCACCTGCTGGAGCGCCATCATGCCCGGCTCTTGGCATACATTCTTAGATTTGGCCTGCAATGTTTTTATTGAGAATTTTTGCATCTATGTTCTTCAGGTAGATTGTCTTAGAGTTTCTTATTTTTGTTGAACACAGTTGATTTTGATATCAGTGTAATTTGTGCCTCATTAAAAGAGTTCAGGAGTGTCCTTTTTGTTTATCTTTCGCAGAATAACTTAAAGATATTGATGTTAGTTTTTTAAAGGTCTGGTAGAATTCTTTACTGAAACCATGAGCTTCTTTCTTTTGGGGGAGATATTTAAATTGCCACTTGTATCTCATTGGCATTTATAGTAAAAATGTTTAAATTATTGGGTTCATCTTGTTTTAACTTCAGTAAGTCATATGCTTCTAGAAATTCAATTACTTTTTCTGGATTTTCTGACTTAGTGGAATATAAAAATTTAAACTACCCTTGATTCTCTAAATATCCTCAGTGTCAGTACTACTGTCTCCCTTTTAATTTCTAATTTTCTTTATTGGGATCTTCTTTATCTTTTGGTTAGTTTGGTTAAGTGTATGGAATTTTATCTTTTAAAAGAACCAACTGTTTGTTTCCTTGATTTTTCTTATTGCTTTTTATTTCTATTTAATCTATTTCATTAATTTCTGTTTTGATCATCTTTATCTCTCTCCATCTACTGATTTGGGGTTGGATTGTTTTTGTTTTCTCAGGACCTTAAGTTTATTTGGGATCTCTGTTTTTTTGGGATCTCTGTTTTTTTTTTTATGTATGCAGTTATAACTATAAAATTTTCTCTTATGACTACTTTCATTGAATTGAATACTTTGGGTATATATGTGTTTTCATTTTCATTACGTGAACTTTAAAATTTTCTTCTTGATTTCTTCAATGACCCTTTCTCATTCAATAACATGCTGTTTACTTTCTATTAATTTATATACTTTTTGCCATTTCTCTTGCTCTTGACATTTGCTTGATATTTTATTGTGGTCACCTAGAGCATATGGTATTTCAATGTCCCTGTATGTGTTAAGGCCTGCTTTATGTCCTAATATGTAACCCGTTTTATAGAAGGTTCCATGAGGTACTGAGAAGAATGTGTATTTTTTGTTGTTTGGGTGAAGGGTTTTATGAATGTCAAGGTATACTTTTTTATGATGTTATCTAATTACAGTGCTTATACATTTTCACTCCTGTATAATTTATCAATCTAATTGTGAGCATGAGAAAATGAAATTAACCATTGTTTCCATGTCTGGGTTAACCTGCGATTTAAAATATATTAGTGTTTATTTGATAAAATTAAATAAACCTCTATT